GACAGAGCTGAATAATGAAATGCTACGTCAGCGGGTATGCGGTCAACAACGCGGGCTCAAGTGTCCTAGGTCTAAAATTTAGCGAAATTAGCGGAAAATAATAAGGGCTGACCTTTAAAACCGAGGAACTCTGTTTTCGTCGAAGGCACTTTCCTATTTCCAAAGGTTTAAAGGAGAAAATTAATTTTTGAAAATTTTTAGGGGGTGTACCAAATTTTTGGAGGTTGTTCTGTAAAAGAAAAGCGGCAAGGAAAACGACGCCTCGAAGCAACAGAATAGGAAATCAACCATGCGAACGACTCAAAATCCGTGTTTCCGCGGCAAAACCTGGCGCATGCGTATACGTTATTCAGCTGTGTCGGTCCTCTATAGATTGAACTAACTTTCTCCGCAAATGTCCTGCATTACAGGTCTCTGTACATCTTGTGTCTTATGCGACATCGCAGTTACAGTTGTTCTTACAATAGGGGATGGAACTCACGGTCGATGATTCATTATTTGGCTCCCCACTCACGTGACAATCGCCGTTCTCAGTTTCCACCTTTGTCTTTTCTGTTGCCGTCTTTTCATATTCTTGACGTTTCATCTTCCTCTGGTTTGATCTCTCGTATTCCTTGGGTGATATTTGAGGTGTTTTCACTTTGTACCTTGTATCGAAAGACGACAGGTCTGTCCTGTTATCAGGATGCAGTAAGATTGGGTGGAACCGCTGACCCCAAAGAATTTCATCTGCTAAGAAAGAAGTCTTGGCCTGGGTAACCATACTCGTTGATTCCACGACGCCCTCTAAGACTGCGATGAATTCCATACGGGAATTTGCGAGCTCTTGAGGCCCAAGTTCGTACAGCGGGCTGCGCTCGTCGATGACATGTACTACTGTCAAAGGTAGTAACAGAAACGGTTTGATGAGCTCGCCGACCTCGCTCCCATGCTCGGTGGTGATGGGAAGTTCTGTTTGGGAGAATAAAATTTCCTCCCCAGTCTTTGTGGTTCGAAAGCAAAAACAGTGAAGAGAGATTGCCACGTCTAGTAATTGGCTCTTGCGTGCGTCGCCTACCCGAAACATCAAAGATAGGAGTCCATCATATGGCGCCACGACTGCTTGCTTCGAGAAAATGACCGTTTGGCCCCTGGGACGGGGTCGCGAAAGTTTGGCGAAAACGAGGCCAAGCAGTGACGTAGACAAAAGGAAGCCGGTGAGAGATTGGAGCAGAAGACAAACCACGGCCTCGGGGCATTGCGGGGTTATCTGCGGTAAACAAAAAAGATTAATGACGAACATTTTTTATTGCATGCGCTGAAAAATTCAGGAAAAGCAAAAAAGGGTTGGCTTGTCCAAGGTTAGTTAGTAACAGCCACATTTGCAAGTTTGATTTCGATGGAAAAAGTTAAGCTAGTGCCGCGCCGGTTTAATTTACTACCCAAAGCTTGTCATTATATTGAAACAGTGTAAAAACCGGCCAAATAGGAACGGAGAGGGAAATCTTGATTGATTGGAGGTCAGTCGGTAAGCTAAAGAAATCGAGTTCGCAAAAATTCCGGCGTATTTAATTTCGCATTGTATGAAGCGTTCAAGTTAAGCAAATTTTCTCTTCTTGCTGTCGATCCAACTCTGATTCATATGTACGGAAAGTGTTCTGATTGGCATGTCTACGTCCACTCCCGATTTCTTTTAGGAAAGGGTAAGATGTAAGTGAAAAATTCAGCTGCCCCTACTTTCAAAGA